TAACGCGATTAAGGCCCCATTTACACGAACACGGGGGGGAAAGTTTTTTTCGGACGTTGATTCGAGGAAAAAAAATCTGCGTTTACACGGACCGCATTTCGTGTTTACGTGTACCTGCAGCAACCCCCGCAAATTCGTTGCAGTTGCCATGCCAGGTCATCATTTGGCGCTGTGAATTTTTTTTACATTCACCTAATGCACATGTGGGCTGCCTGGGACTGCTCTCAGTAAGTAAAAGTAAAGTGCTATGTGTTGTCATCATTATATGTTCCCATACAATGGCAAAATTAGTTCTCTGCATTTAACTCATCGCACCTGGGATACACCCAGGTGGAGCAGTGGGCAGCTATGTAAGCATCCGGGGAGCAATTAGGGATTAGGTGTCTTACTCAGAGACACCATGACATGTGGGAATGGCTGGGGATCGAGCCTGGGACTTTCGGGTCCCGAGTCAGCTGCCCTGACTCTATCCCATCTTGGCCCCTAAGGACATTCCTCTGGGCTGAAAGCCTAGCCAACAACAACTTCACAAGTTAAAGCTGGATTTTGGATACGAGTTGACAGATTTGACGCCAAACGGACCGCTTCGTCCAATAGCTTGACACCGGTCGCTGAGCAGACCAGAACTGACGAGGATGATGTCAGACTTCCCACGCTGGTGCTAATCAGTAGCAATGCTACACATCAGGTAAATTGATGTTCTTAATAACGTTAGCTTGTGGTTACTTTGGTTACACAACAACCAACTGAGTTTTTATTTTTATTTTTCCTGCGAGGAGAAGCTATCCTCCCACCATAGGGACCAGATCTGAACGAGCACACACCTCGGCCTGAGGCTCGGCAGTGCAGGGGGACATCGAAGAGAGAGATGTTGGAGCAACTATTCACTTAAAATTTCCCTCAGCTCTTTTTTCAATCCATTCAATTTTTTAAGCTACATTAAGTAAAGGAGTGACAGCCTGTTCATGCCAGATAAACAACATGGTGTCAGTACCCAGCATTAGGAATGTGCGATATGGCATAAAATTCATATCACGATATGTATTGTGAAGGGTGGTGACAACGATATATATCGTAATATGTTTTTGGTATAAAACTTGCTAAAAAAAAAAAAAGCATAGGGTGTCCTTTTGCCATCATATATTTTGAATTAAGAAAATTCCACTACTAGGTCCAGAGAGTTTTTAAATAATAAACAAATCAAGTATTAAGCTTCTTTCTTGTAGTGCAAAACAGTGCAAAAGATATCAAATGTAGTTTTAGCGATACGTTTTAAACAAAAAAATATGTTAACTCTTAACAGCTTCCAGTCTTACTTAAGAAATGAACAGCAACAGAGCAGCATTTTACACTGAAACACTTCACCCTCCAACCCTCTAGTGGGCGTCTCCTTCCGCTTTAACGGAGAGCTGACACAAAATGACTGTGGCTTTGACCAGAGGGTCTCGCAGTAATTTGCATCACATGTAGTACATGAGGTGGAATGAAATTGTGTACACAGACTCCCAGTTACATCCAACAATAGCAAAAATATAAAGTCTAAAAATAAACAGTAAATAAGTATGTAACATATAAACTAAGATATATGCTAAACGAATGCCCAACAGTACACTAAAAGATCTAAGATGTATGCTAGTCACTAATAGTGCAAAACAATACACCAAACAGCAGCAGCACGATTCTCATAGGTTTGGTTCGGCTATAATTTACACGCTTAATGCGAGCAGAGTCGAGCTCGGAGCCGACCCCAAAACAAACATAAACTGGGATTTATTCAAAGTATGCAACAAAAATACAGAAACCAGACGACAAAAGTGAAAAAGAAATCTACAGCAGCATGGTCTTATTGGCTGAGTGGTTCTGATGACAGTGAGGTTATCTTAGCAAAATGGTCCAGTTAGCAGCATGATACTGTTAGCAGTGAGGTTCGTTTAGCAGTGAGGTTTCTTTTAGCAACATGGTCCCGTTGGCACCATGGTAGTGTTAGCGGTGTGGTTCGGTTATCGGCATGGACTTGTTAGCAGTATTAGCAGATCCTGTCAGCAGCTTGATGATAACAAGGACTGCAGCCGCTGCCTCCCAGACTACCCTCCAGAACCGGGTCCGGCAGACAGAGAACATCCAAGGTTCCCCCACGGAACCGAATGGAACCAAACAGGATGACAACAAAGAGGAAGGGTACAGTTCATGTGGTTTACAGTTTGTTTAATGTGTTTTTAATAGTGTTCAGTTTTCCTATCAGTGTGTGTGACATACAGTTTGTGGTGTTGAATAAATAAATAAAACTTAAACCTGATGTCTTCATTTTCAACTTTAATAACTTGCAATATATTTTGCATCATTTAAATCACATAACTTGAATTACATAATGTCCAGATAGCTTCATTTAGCTGAGAGCTTCATTACATCTACCGACACTAACAGAAATACTGTTTTATTAATATTACTGTTATTATTTAGCACATTTAGTATGTTATAGTCCAGTGTGACGCGTGAAATATATGCCTGCCTCGACAAGCTCGTTTCATAAATGTCGATTTTAAACTGGATCCGACTGGCATCTCATCCCAACGCAGATGTTGGTCACAGCAGCTACATTCCGGCGTAGATTAACTACGAGACCCTAAATATATTCCATCAGTCATAGCACAGTATGTTATACTTTGGTGTCATTGCTGTTGATAGAAATATGCTGTTGGTCCGCGCATGCGTGAAATATATGCCTGTAATGCGCATGTGCTTTAACACCTCTGCGAGAGCTGGATACATTACAGCAAGCGGCCACCTCGAAAACCTCCACTCTTGAGAAGTGGGTTGAAAAACCTCCGGATTCAAAGAAGAGGGTGACTGGTGTTGTGTAAATGAACAGCCGAACCGCAGAGAGAAAAGTGCGGATTCACTCAAAATATGCGCTGCGTAAACAGCCCCTAACACCTAACTGGCTGGGCACAACAACCATTATCAAATACACAAAATGTCTTCACTTCAACGCATACAATGCCTACTGTTTACATCACAATGGTAATCATTTCCATACAGGCCACAGGACGTGTATTCGCCTAGTCAATAATATAGAGAATGGTATAATTAGAAGGAAGAAAGGTATCTAACTGCTCACCCATGCGGTGTCTATCTGAGATCAGATGTAATATGATATGAGCAGGATTCAGATTACCGACGTCTTATACAATCTTCTGATAGTATTACACAGATACTCAAGCAGATCATATTTCAAATAAGCCATCTGAACCAAAAGATGAGTGACGACCACTCATCAATAAAGCAAGCAGGCATCTGTGCCTACTGAAATTAACAGAGTGTGACATTTATAACATATTGCAGGCTTGGCGTTCTATTGTAAAATTTTCAGTATTGTTTTATGTTCCCATTTACCATGTAAGACCTTTGAGACACAAAAAAGAAAATGAATTGCCAGTAAAATAGTGTGGAGTGTTGCTAAAGAAGCAACATTTATGAGTAGGCTCCATCAACCTGTCAATAAACAATATTCTAAACCCGCATTGAGGAAAAAAACAAAAAAACTTTGAGAATACTCTCCACACTGTGGGGGCTGTGTCTTTCAAAACATGCCACAGGAGATTCTCGTTAGAGAATAGTTTCATTAACATCATCCCACAATGCTGCGCCCTGCTGCATTACAATGACACAGGAGTGCCCCTCTCTGTCAAGGAAATCTCCTCATAGCAACAATTCGCTGGGGGAGGGGAAAGCAAAGACAAGAGAGGAGGTGTGTGTGTGGTGGGGGGGGGGGGGGGCACCAAACAAAAGAACCTGATTACCCCTGGTCACAGCTCATCCACACGCCAGAACAAGGAAATCCATCACCTGCAGGATCAAACAGAAACTTGTGCACAAGGCAAAGCTCAGTGAAAGCAGTACCCACCCATCTAACTACTCTCTTCCCTTTCTCCTTTTTTTCTCTTGTCATTGCCACCTCCCCTTCCACCTCTCTGACACACCAACAGCAGCATGTAAGTTTTAGGCACACTCTGTGAAATCCAACACAAGTGAGAACGCTTTCTGGTCCAAATGACCTCAAGACTCGAACCCCTCTAATGGCACGCAGGTGATATATTCCAGTTTTTATTACTGTCTGTAGACCTGGGTTCCATTTCATGGTAGCTGCATTCTTATTTGCCAACATTAAACTAATGAAGCATTGTGGTCAAACCTGCTTCAGTATATAAAGGAAATAATGTAAACATTTATTATTCTTTTATTTCCCCATTTCCATCATGGTTATGGTCAAAACAGACATGCATATTAAAGCTGGGTTTCCAGCAGTGTTACAGCAACAACACTTCAAAAGCTCTTTTACCAGTGAGAGGGCTTAGAAATGTGAACTGCAACTGGGCACTGGAAGATTTAAGTAAACCCTTTTGGAATAAAGCATAGAATGTGGCACTATTTTTTATGCTCATTATTTAAAATCTACACAGAATATGTGTTAAAGTGGGAAACACAATTGCATAAAACAAAAGTAGATAATGAAAAGCATATAATATTAACAATTAAAGTTGCACAAGTATTCAGATCTGTTTGGATTTATTTTTTTCCATTCATTTCATTGTGATGAACGTCCACAGTGCAATTAAGAAAGTTACGGTTAATATTCACCTAAAAATGCTAATGAAGGCAAAAACAAAAAGGAACAAAGACAATATACACTCTAGCACGTAATCTACCTAGCTTCAGCCTGCCACAACGGTAAAAACGGAAAGTAAGCAAAATGGACTCGAGCAGAAGAACGTTGAACCCCATTTAAACTGGTTTACAAGGCAAAAAACATGACTTGCAATACCGCACAACTGCACCGGAGCTAATTGTTTAAATATGTCTGCCTTGTTCAGATCCTCCCCCTGAAATGTAACACATGGAGGGGGCCACACTCAACTCATGTGCATGCCAACACGTAAACACTCTCAAACAAGACATAGCCATTCAGCATAAAACAAGACGTGGAATATTTCACCACTCACAGTTGAAGAGAGGCCATCCTTCCTCTGTGATATCGGGCACCACAACAGTGTATAGATCTTCAGTGAAGCCTGGCTTGCATGGCGGGGCACCCCTGGCCTCTGCTACGATCTGTAGTGCAGGAGGGTGATGGGGGTGTGGGAGGGGGGGTAAAAACAAGTCATAAATCAACTTTCAAAAATGCACTCCTCTGTCTCCAATCTCTCTTCATCACATTCCGGGGTCCCCACAGTTGTACAAAAGCATCTGTTGTTTTTATAGCAGGGGCTGCAATTAGGATAATGAGGCCAAAAGGGTTAAGCATTAGCCAAAAAGCATGGCTAGGCAAGAACAAGCTCCATTTGTCCCAGAGTAGGGGCCCAAGCACAGGGTACTGTCTGCCAGCCCCCCCTGATCAACACACTCTCGACAAACACCATTCACTTTGAAGTGCAGGAACAGGAGAATAAAAATGCTTAAAAAAAAAAAACACTGAGAAGCGAATACACATTGTAAGAATGTCTGAATAAACACTGGCAAACTTACTTTTTTTTTTCCTTTCAGCGAAACAGTTGGATAATAACGCATCAATACTTTCATCTTGGACTTCTTTTGTTTGGCTTTAAAAAACAACAATTGTGCTCAAGATGTCTTTACAAAATACCTAAAATTGTGGCTGCTACGCAGAAAAACAAATGACTGAAGCTCATGGTGGGCTGAAGCAAATTTCTTTGCAGAAGACAAAGAACAGCACAAAATAACATCTTAAACAGAGCACAGTTGTACTCCGATGTGCAAGTGTACATCATTACACAACCTCATGATTGATACCAACTTTCAGGAGCACAGTCCTGGCTTTATGTGCTTCCATGCACTCTCACAAGAAAAAAAAAATAGAGAACCTTGCTGCAAAAGATCATTGTGTGTATTCGTGACAGTTGCCATTCCTATCAAGAGAAATTTAAATGGAAAATGTTTGCAAATAAGGGAGGACTTGGACTACAAGGAAGGCAGCAGGTTGTACTGTCCACCTTCCTTATTGGATTAAAAAATGCTAGATTTGTGCAAACTGGTTACAAAAAAAGTCAAGTCTCTCTTTAGTAATGTACACTTATGATGCAATGAGGTCATTTACTTTCAAACTTCTTTATATAATATGCAAATAGTAGCAGATAATCTATATTATGGATAATTGTCAGTCAGGTTGTGCATAAACTGAGAGCAGTGCACTCCAGTTTATGGTAACGACTTCCACCAGTGTGAGCAATTAACTCTACACAGCATACGCAGCAAAATACTAGAAACGATAAAATAAAATAAATGTAACCAAGACAAATAATCCAGGTTAATCCAGGCTTGAACTTCCATAACAACGATATTCAGCCACAGGAACTCTTAAATCAGGCTACAACGATGCTAATTTGACTTCTTTTAGCTGTAATCAGATCAAACGCGCCGCGTGCAGCGTCTCGTGAGCATTAAATGAAAAAAAACAACCGTTAGCTAGTAATTGTTGCGACTTTTATCGTTAATTTATGACGTTTTGTTTTAACTACACGCAGCGTAAAGTGGCTCGCGAAGAGCTACCAACTCGTCCCGGTTCTTAACTCAACAAACAGCAGCCCGTTTGAGAAAAATAAATAAATGTAATATATAAAAAACACGTAAAGTGTCCGGTAACTCAGCTGTACATTACCTGCAGTCCTGCTAAGACCAGCAGCAGAAGCAGACCCTCGTGTAACGAGTACATTGGTACGGTCACTCCGTTATCCACCGCTTCGGGTTCCGGAAAATAATAATAATTAAAAAAAAAAAAAAAAAAAAAGATGATTTAAAAAAAGAGAATATCCAAATATGAGTGGCCTCGAAACGGCTCCCTGTTCGACAAAGGCAGCAGCAGTAGCAGGAATGGTGGCGGCAGCATGTATGAGCCTCCTCCTCCTCCTCCTCTTTCTATCTGTCTATCCGTGCAGAGGGAGAGGAGCAGTGCCTGGTACTGAGGCTGCTGCTCCCTCCCATCCAGTCCAGGCTCAAAGGAACCAAACCAGCCCCGGCCACTACTCTATAAACCGCCCAGCTCTCTCTGTCTCTCCCTACTGGTGACACAGCCAATTTCACTATATATACATATATATATATATATATA